ATGACAGTGGAGGAAAGGCATGGAAAAAAATATATATATTTCATTTTCAAGCATACTTATAATATATTTTTTCAAATATATATATATGTATGTTTGAAATGGCACAGTGGAACTTCTCCTCCCATTGCACACCAATTTTAAACATTAAACATAATCCAAGGTTATTTTTATTTATTTGTACAGTTTTTTTTTTTGAGAGAGAGTTTCTCTGTGTAGTTTTGGTGACTGTCCTGGATCTCACTCTGTAGACCAGGCTGGCCTCGAACTCACAGAGATCTGCCTGCCTCTGCCTTCCCAGTGCTGGGATTAAAGGCGTGCGCCACTGCTGCCCGGCCTTGTACATCTTCTTATTCATGGGGCTTGTTCTCCAAATTTTTCCTGTTTAAAAATAACATGAATACTTTAGAATTTAAAATGTTATCTCTTCTACTCGTATTTTAAAGGTCAAGAAAGTTTGCAGTGAACTGTGAACCTCTTGACTACATAATCTGATAGTCTTAACATATGCACCCAGTATCTATCTACCCTTTGTTAACAGACAAGTTTCCACGACCCCAGAAGTTCCCTTGAGTCCCTTCCTGTCCTGGTAAACCTCGACAACTTGACCCTTATTCTTTTGAATTCAACTGCCTCAGGTTCGCCCACTCATTTTCAATGAATTTCTAGATTCATCTATGTGGTTTGCCGGTTTGTACCTTATTGCTGAGTCACATTCCAGTATCAGACGACAGTGGCACATCCACTGGCCTGTTCATGGCCCTTTGGACTATTTCCAGTTTGGAACTATAATACTCTCTTGAGTATTTTTGTAGAAATAATGTTCATTTCTCTTGGGTAAGGATTTGAAGGTAGAATTTCTTAGTCATAAGAAAGGTGTATATTGATCTTTATGAGAGACCATTAGGTCTTTTTTGTTTGTTTGTTTTTTAAGTGGTTACACCAACTTATACCAATATAATCCCAGTAGCTCAGCACCATCCACAATATTTGGAATTATTCTTTAATTTGGACATGCTGACCATTGCAGAATAGGTTCTTATTTTAATTTTCACATTCCTGGTGACAATTGACATTTGTCACCTTTCAGGTGACTCTGTGCCTTCTGTTTATCTTCATTTGATAAGTGTGTGTTCAGGTATTCTGACCATTTTGAAACACTCGATTTGTGGGAGTTATTTACATATAGAAAGTCCCTTGATTTACCAGTTGTGAAAAAAAAAATCTCTTCCCAGTCCGTGGCCTGCCTCTTCACCATGTTGTATCTTTTGCTGAGTGGAAGCTGTGGCTCCAATGCTAATTATAAATGTCTACTTTTACGGCTAGCACTTTTCATGTCCTTGCATGGCAGCTTTCCCTATTTTTTTCCTAGAAGATTGAAATACCCGCCCCCTTTTTAATATTTATGATTAATTTTAAGTGTTGTGCATGAATAAAAGGTTAAAGCCTTTCCCCGAGTCTGAGCATCCAGCTGCCACAGGATTGTCTGTGGAGAGGCCTGTCTCCACTCAACTGAGTTGCTTTTTAGTGTCTTTACCAAAATTACTTTGCCATATGGCTCTGGGTCTATTTCTAGACTCTCTGTTCTGTTTCAACGTGCTATTTCTCTATTTATTGCCCACACTCTACAGTCTCCTTGCAGGGTAAATGCTTTTTGCCATGTTCTCTGGGAGCCTGCATGTCATGTATTCAGTGTGTTCAGGGTGGAGGACTTACACATCTTTCATTAAGTTTTCTGTACATCTTACAGTGTGGTTCTCAGTAATATTTGATTAAAATTAAATGTGCTCATTTCTGGTTCTGCTAGATTGTATTTCCCCAAATGGCTGCAGCAATGTTTCCAACTCCCATGCTCTTCCAGACTCTTGTCACTCTGTTCCCTCCCTGCTTGTGCTGACGGGGCCTTTGCGACTGTCTGGACAAGCAGGGTGTAGGTGAAGTGGCAGAGCATGTATTCCCAGGCCAGGTCAGGACAGGTGAGCCTGTGTCTTGAAATATCTACTCTCGGAATTCAGTTACCTGGTTTCCACAAGCCCAGGTAGAGCGGGCCCCCCAGCAGGCCAGTAACAAGTGTCAGAAATGAACATGAGCGGGCGAATGGAGAAATGGAGGGGAGGAGCCCCTTGACTATTGTTCTGTTTTCATTGGGAGAGAGTCACAGCCTGCTCCATATTTACCATGTGCACAGTTTGGGACACTGTTCCCCCTCCAAAAGAAAAGAAACCTGTTAGAAATGAGAATTCAGACAGGATTTAGGCCATCAAAACGCATCCATGTAATCTTTAATAAGAATCTGTAGAAGAATGAGATTTACATGACATGATCTCTCTTCAAAGACTGTTTGCCCAATACTGTCAGAGTTGACTGTTAGTTGGTCTGTAAACAACAGCGAGTGAGAAAGAGGATAAAAGGAAGGAAGGAATTAGTCTGCGGACAGGAGGGAAGGCAAATGGGTTACAGGCCTGTGTTGTGGTGTTTGGATTGAGATTTGTTTGTCTCCATCTTTCAATGTGCTCTATACATTCCCTTTCCTTTTTTAAAATGTTGCATCATGCACATAAATATTTTGAAAAGAAATGGTTCCAGGGCTGGTGGCTTAGTCAATTTCACTGATGCTGGCTCTCCCAAGGCGTCCTTCCTCCCCCCACAGGCTGCTCTGTTCTCGACTTGGGAAAAGCTGCACCATGGCCAATGAATTGAAGCAGTTATCTTGAAAGTTCTGCTCTAATACAAGTAGAGAGAAAACACATTTCCCAGACTCTCCTATTGCTCTGGACTTTGTGTCTGCCTTTCCTTCCTCTTGCTGGTGAGTCTACCATACTTCTAGCCCAGGCAAGGACAAGAAAGTCTCTCCTCAAAATCAACACAGGTTGTGTGTGATTCATACTGCCATAGGGTCCCATGCTTAGGAAATACTGCTCATTGCTTTGTTTGGTCCTGTGTGCCTATGATTCCTTTTAGCACCTCGATGATGGGACTGAGGTCTGGACTCTAGGGCTAGTGCCAGCCTAATCTTTCCAACTTTGTAAAAGGCAGTGAGGGGAGTCAACCACGGAGATAAGTGCAACATTCCTCTATTGCCCTTGCAAACCTACATGATGCTCACACCTCTAATCCCCACACTTGGGAGGCTGAAGCAGGAGGATTATTACCAGTTCCAAATCATCTTGGGCTACACCATAAGCCCCAGGCCAGCCAGGGCTCCAGCACAGCAAGACTCCTCCTCTTCTATACCACCGCCCATCACACTACTCCAGAGCTCTTGGCCAGTTTGGTTACTGGAAAGTACCTAAAGAGGCAGGAGCAATAAGCTCATTTTATGCTGTGATTCTGTGAAATCAAAGGACAATTAAAAATAACCAATACCTATTTTTTGTTGCTCTCATTTATTTATGGCTATTTTCCCTGTTTGGGGTATTAATAATAAATAAATAAATACGGTTTCCTTCGGGCTCCTTTCAACATTTTGCTTATTCTGCAAGGCATTATCACAGAACGTGTATGGAACCATTCGTGGCCCATTTTTACAGCTTCTATGCAAAGATCAGTCTAAGCTTTGTAAGCGCCCCCCCACAGCCTGGGAGACTCACCGAGAAGTCCTGCCACCCTGAGCCTCAGCTCAACATCTGAGACATTTCCCTCTTGGACCTTCCTGCTGAAGAAATAGTGTTTACTCTGAGGTGTGCTTTATTGTCGGAGGTACCAAGGTCTTTGTGCTCACAGATAAGCACTTGGGGAACCTGTACTGTTAAGCACACAGGGCTGTTTCGTCCAGAAGGCTGGACATGCTTCCCAGCCTCGTGACCTTCTGCCCTATCTCTGTGTCTAGAGACTTTTCCAGGACCAGACCCTTCCAGGGACCCTTATCATAAACTTGTTTATCTCAGTCAATCTATAGAACTTATCTTTACGGACTTTACAGAAAGTTTCGAGGTAGTCACGTCTGATCCGTATTTAGCTTTGTGTCTTAAGGAGATTTTCATATGATTTGTTGTGCGCGTGGGACTGAGTTAACACCAGCAGTTTTCACCAAATTGTGCTGGGCCTAAAATATGCCTAAAATAAACCACTCACTTCGGTCAGACTCCGGAAGTTTGAACCCACACTGGCTACTGAGTCGTGTGGAGCCAACTGCCTTCCTACCTCCTATGGCTCATCTCTCTGCAGCCCCCTAGGTCTCAGAGACGCCCCCATTTTATGTAAAAAGAAAGGTCATGATCACTTCTGCAAGTGCAGGAGCAGACTCAGATTGGCTGGTTTGTTGTCGTTGTTTTTGTTTTTTTAGTTTAAGGTCAAGATTTCATCAGACACAGTAAAGATTGAGCTGGCTTTTTCCTCACTAACCCCATGGAACTGTGCTCAGAAGGACTCAGCTTAAACATTAAGAGAAGAGAGAAATCAAACAAAAGCAGGTCGAATGACCTTGGGCCAGTCACCCCTTACCTCTCAATGGATTTGTTTGCATGTAGAAGGTGCACTGCGTGTGTCGTGGGCGTGGATGTGTGTGGTGGGTGCCCCTTAGAGCATTCTGGAGGTTTCACGACCGTGATAAGCCGTGGAGGACAGGGGCTTGCAGACCCAGCTCTTCTCTGCGTTTCAGGTCCCAGCGTGGAAATTCCCGTTCTGCGCAAAGGACCCATGCAGACCCCATCCGGCTGGCTGCAAAAGAAGAGAAGCTGCTAACGAAAAGGGAAGGAGTCGGAGGACCCAGGGCTGCACCGCACAAGTGACAGGCAGGGAGATAAGGTAGTGGGACTTGCTGAGGCCCAGAGCCGCCCAGGTGCGCCCATCCCCTCCCGGAGCCCGCACCCAGCCCCGCAGCCCTGCCCGCGCCTTCCGCGCCTCCTGCCAGGACTCGGACTGGCGGCGCAGCCTCCTGCGGGGCCCCCGCCCCCGCGTTGCCGGGCCAGCGAGGCCGCCGCGGCGTTCGGGGCGCCGCCGCATTGGCCGCTGCGGTGCGGGAGGCGCGGTCGGCGCAGCCTCGGGGCTGCGGGCATAGACTGGGGCGGCCCGCGGCGCTCGCTCAGCCCTAGGCCCGCTCGCCCATGGCCCTGGCGCTGTGGCCCTGGAGCCCAGCCCCGCTCCCAGGCGCCACCGCTCGCCTCTGGCCGCCCAGCCTGCCAGCCACGCGCGATGCTGAACGGCACCGGCCTGGACCAGGCTTTTAAGATGTCGTTGCCGCGGAGGGCGAGGATCGGCGCGTCCGTGGGTGAGCAGGGAGGGTGGGCCACTGGGGCGGGGGCGGCGTCCTAAGCTGGGAGACACTGCTCCGCCCTTCGCTCTGTCCCCTCCTCCGGGCGCCGGGGGCTGCGGGGGACTCCGGATGCCACGCCCTACTGCCCCCTGGCTGGACGCCCTTGCACCCACCCGGCCCTAAGGCCTCATGCGGGAGTGAAGGAGCGAAAAGTGTGAGAACTCTCAGGCCCCTGGCACAGTTGTGTATTCATGTGTGCGTGTGCATGTGTCTGTGTGAGTGTGTGTGTGTGTGTGTGTGTGTGTGTGTGTGTGTGTGTGCACACGCCCGCGTGCGCGTGCAGGTCCGTGTGACCCTACGCAGTGATGCGCATGCTGGAAAGGACCGAAGCAGTCGTTTTCTGCCCTGTGCCCAGTCCTGGTGGGCACACTTTGGTCACTGGGAAGACTTCTTTCCTCCCAGGCTGTCTGCTTGCAATGCGGAGTGTATTATCTTCTTCAGAGACTTAAGGGAAGCAGAAAGTCACTTAAGAGTGTTTTCACCACCTGGGGCCCAAGTGCTCAGCTTACACTAAGGACAGAGAGGCTCAGGGTTCCATTGCATGGGAGACAAGCCGCAGAGACACAGATGCATTCATGAACACACGCTGGCAGTGGCCTGGGTGGGATTGGAAATGCAGCATCTTCTTAGATGTTTTTGTTGTATAATGCACTTAGGAAACATGACCAGGTACACCCAATGCTCTGTGGCTACGGCACATGATAGGTGACCTAGACGCTTAAATAATGCAAAAATAGAGGGGGAACCTCCAAAATGATGCCCTGTCTTGCATTTCAGGCCTCCTTGAAAGGAGTCTGGGTAGATCTTTGATGAAGAGGGTTCAAGGTTTGGGTTTGGAGTTGAGGTTCCTTGTTAACCATTTGTAGTTTTGTCTGTTTTGAGACAATAGGTGTATAAGAATAAATGACGTTTACGTTTTCACTGTTGAGCAAAGTGAGGGAGAAAAAAAGCATTCTAACTAGTGTTTGTTAAAGTTGGGTAGTATCAAGACAGTCACATTCATTTTGAGCAGAATCCTTTCCTGAAAGGGTCACTAGGCAACACCTCAAGACTACAAGGTGGGGAGCCCCAGGGGCATCAGGGAGCAGTCAGAGGGACAGCCTCGGTACCAGCAAAGGAAAGGAAGTGTACGCTTTTCAGAGCAGTGTCATGGATGCAAGGCTTTGTGAAGAAAGAAGCACTCCCTGCTGGGGAGGATACAGAACTCTGGTTCCTTTGGGAAGAAGGGAGAATGAGAGATTGAGTTTTGATCAGATCACATCTGCAATGCCTGCTGGAGAGCCTAGTGGGGATGTTTAGTGGAGATTGACTTGTGAGCCTGAGTTCACAGCCAGACATCTAAATTTCAGAGTGTTTCCCAGGATGCCTCAATGGGTACCTCACTGCAGGTGCACGGGACCTCCTTCCAGAAGAGCCCTGCTTTAGTGTTCTGCTCGTATTAAGCTTGATTTCTGCACAGGTGCACACTATCTCGCTTTTCACTGGGTCCCCCAAAATTATATAACTAATACCAGAGGGATCTGAAGGTATCCTGAGCATTCCAGTATTTTCAAGTTGGAGGGGACTAGGGGAACAGAAAGCGATTGGAACAGGATGCATGGAAGCCTGGCGAGTCAGGAATGCCGCCAAGAGCTCCAGAAAGAATCTGGGCATTGATGCTTGGCTTTATTTGTGGAGGTCACTGATGACCTTGGAAGAGCTACTATTGTATAACTGTGGGGAGAAATATTCATTAGAAGGGGCGAGCTACTATTGTATAACTGTGGGGAGAAATATTCATTGCGGGGGGTGCAAGAGAGGATTAGAAGACAGGAGTTGAGAACAGACTGTCCATGACACCCTTTAGGGTAAATTTTGCAGAAAAATGGAGGGAAAAGCAAATGGAGTGGTAGCTGTAGAGAGCAAGTTCAAGGGAGCCTGCTTTGAAGACTGCACCATCCAACAGTGTGATAGTATGAACACTCAGTCAGGGGCTTTCTCAACGGTCTGTGGTGTGAGCATCAGTGAGGAGCAGGGTTCAGAGCACTGCAGTTGAGAGAAAAAGGTTTAGGAGTTTCTGAAAGCGTAGGGCTTTGGGACCTTGCTGATGACAGGTGTGGGGTGCGGAAGATAAAATGTGTGACTTTACAAAACCGGTCTATTTAGAGCACATACATCATGGATAGGCAAGAGGGAGGTCAGGGTGGATACCTGAGCAAAGGGCCTGACAATCGCCTACTCCCATAAAATAGGAGTGCTGTGTGACTTTTGAAGAAGCCTGCCGCTTCTCATTTAGTGCAAACTAGCAGAGCAGGTCTGATGGGTCACACACAGTTCCTTCAGGACAGGTGCCAACCAGTCAACTGTTTAGTAAAGCGGTTCTGGGATCGTTATTTCTGGTGAATGTCCCTTGAACCCCCATCTTTCTCTGGGCGTCCTGTTGTACCTTTGTGCGTTCCTTTCTGCAGTTTACCAAATGGTGGGGATCCAAAGACCAGTTGACTGTGACAGGCTGGATCTATATTGGCCACCTTCTATGTGCCAGACGCTTCAGGACTCTGGAGATGGAGCACTGGACGGGATAGGTGCTTTCCGGATAGAGCCCAAGGTCTAGGGATGAGTACAAAGCACACTGTTGGTGCTCTCAACTCGTACCCAGCCTCAGGCTACCTGCACAGGCTACGTGCACAGTGGAACAGGGAAGTGAAGCGCGTATGTGTGTACAGGTGTACGGGCAGTGACAGTGGGGCAGTGGGGTCAGAAAGGAAGGGGGAGCTGTTCTCTGGGGACTACAACACTCATGGTCTCTAGGGTAGAAGCTTCTTTCCTCTCGTTTAGCTTCTGGATTTGGCTTCATGAAACTGATTGGCGATAAAGAGCAGGCAGGCAGTAAGCACAGTGCCTGTGCCTTTAATTAGATTAAATACAGGACCTGGATGGCTATAAGTCCTACTGAAAATGCCCTTGCAGGTATGTTCCAACTTCTTTACCCTTTCAGCTCCCTGGCCTCTTCTGGTCAGTAAATTTTTAATTTTGATTTTTTAATTTTGGTTTTTATTTTTAAATGGGCTCCTGTGTGGACCTAGTTTTCTTGTTACATCTCCTGTAACTACTTACCCTGAGTTGTAAAGGAAGGGATGAGAACAGCTGAATATACCAGAAGCTCTGGTAGAATGTAAGAGCCAGAAGACAGCTCTGAAGTGGTTTAATTCCTTCACTTTACAGCAAACTGTTTCAGAGTGGCCGGTTAATTTCTAGCAGAACCAACTAATTTCCAAGGCCCACAGAGCTGGCACAGTTCAGGAGCAGTTCCAGTCTGAACAGGGCATGTTCACTTACTCATTTTAGACGCTTTCTTCTTCCTTGGTAGGAAATAGGACAGACACAGGTCTCATTTCCCTTGCTTCGATTTCCTTCACTGTCCAGTGGGCACTCTACACACAGACTTGACCCATCTCTGTAATTTTGTGCTTGACCTGGAGGTCTAGATTATGGTTGGGAGTTTTTGGAGACAATGTATATTGGGGCTAAAATACCAGACTGTAGGTTTAGAGAGAAGTGGGTTCAAACTTCGACATTGTCTTCTGCTTCCTATGGGCCATTTCTTTAGTTACATTATCGAATGAGGATGTAAAGAAAGAGTTTACCCCCCAAGAGTTTGTGTCAGTGGTGTGTGTGTGTGTGTGTGTGTGTGTGTGTGATTTGCATAGCACAGCAGTGCATATACTAATTACCGAATGCACAATCAAGTTTGACAGTGTCGCTCATTCTTAGATTGCCCATCATAACCCGGGGCAGACTCCTCTACCTGGATCCTCATTCCATGTGGTGGCAGAAGAGGCAACATCTTCAACTTCAAATGTCTTTTCCCTCTAGATCTAATGATGCTCTACCCAGGACGTGACTACATAGAGGCATTTCTAGGTTTCCATGATGCAGAAACCCACTCACCAGCTGCCCAGATCCTACACTGTCCATTCTCTAGTGTCTGAATTGTCACTCTCCTTACACTGGCCATTCTCTAGTGTCTGACAGTTGTCACTTTCCCTACACTGTCTTGTCTTTCATGTCTGCAGGTGGCTACTATGCCCTTAATTTGATGGCTTTAGTTATTTAATAATTAATTCACTTTTACAATGGCTGTTTTGTCTTAAAACCTCATCTGATGGAGGTGTCAGCTAGACAAATGGATTACATTAAAGTTATCCTTTTAGGACCTTGGGATGGTTTATGAGAGGATGTTCAGACAGCTCCTCTGAAGAGGGGTCTCTCCCCTTATCCCTGGGGCTTTTTACAGTTGCTAAATATAACCCCTAGTCAATAGCACACCAAGACAAGATGTTACTTACATCCTATTAGGCCAGGGAAAGTGCTCAGGGAAAATGTTAACAACCACTAAGAAGGGCTAAAAATAAAAGTGAGCTCACATTCATACCCTGGCAGTTTCTCCATATCATTGTCAAGGGCGGACAAAATGCATAACCTGCCTTGTGGCATTGAGCAGCACCAAGGTGAAGACAGTCATATCCATGTGCTTCCCAGGATATGGACATAGATGTGTCTGTGAGAGTAGGTCAGGTCTGGCTCACACTCTTGTCCCAGCTGCTTGAAAGGGTGAGGCATGTAGATCACCTGAGCCCGATTTGGGACAATGTGGGCAATTAAGTGAGAGCTTGTGTCAACAACCAAAATAAAATAAAACAACAATCATACACATGTGATGTTGTCCATTCACAAATAGTGTGGTGGAGGGCTCATTACACCAGCCTACCACCACACACCTCTGTATGTCCTGTTTGTGTGCTGGTGCTCCTTGCACTGAAGGATTATCTCTTACCTGCTAGTTTAAAAAAAATGGATGTGTCATAGTTCATCCTAAAAATGTGACTTAATCTTCGCTCATTTTGATTCAGAGATTCAAATGATTCGCATTCTGGAAAGTAGTTCCCTGCATTTGCGTTATTGTTTGTTGGGTA